TGGTTTCACCTCGGACTGCAGCCTTGTGTGAACCTAGGGGCGTCACAGGCATGTAGTTTCATTTACGGATATGACTGCCAATGAAGGATCAATTCTTAAAGACATGATCAAATATAATCATGTAACAACATTATCAGATTTCTATCCATTTTTCATGAAATAAAATATCAAATTAAATATTAATATTATAATCTAAGGTAAATTGACAACAAAAAAATATAGTTATTTATTACAGGTTCTCTTGGAAAATGACATGAACAAAGCAAAGGTAATATTATTTGACGCAACAGAAACTCTTATTAGATGCATAATAGAAGAATTCATTATAGTGAAAAAAGAGGTAACTCCTAACCTTAATTAAGTAGTAAATTAAAAATATAAAAGTTTCATATATATAAAATTAACATTTATTCTCATTAAACGGAAAAATAATCAAAATCTGTATTTCTAGGAGTTTGTGTTGAATATTGGAAATATATTCAAATTCTTTATGAAGTAAGACAATAAAATAAAAGATGAACGAGCTTAGAGAAAGATAACAACAAAAGAAATCTAGCTCCAGCCTAATGTCATAATTGATGTAGATGATGAAGACATAACTCTAGAATTGCCTTAGAAAAAGATAAAGATGGAGAAGGATTTATCTCAACGCAATAATAAAATGAAATGGAAGGAATAAAATATCTGTTTCTTGAATTTTTTTTATAGAATAGTTTAATTTTTCTGAGTAAAATTAGGCATCTTTAGAAAAAAATTTCATGAACTTTTTTAATACTTTTATATGCTTATGTGGATGCTTTATCATATAAAAATATACTAAAGTTAGTATTAATCTTTAGTTTATAATTTTTATGGTGAATCAGTGATTACAAACAAACTTCATATTCTCTTTAGTTTTGTTCTAGTCCAATTTTAATTAATCATCTCGACTTATTGGCTTTAAATATTCATCTTACTTTTATAAGCTATTTCTTCAAGTGTTTTTAACTTTTACAATACTATACTTTCTCAAGTCAAGCTTGGTTTCATGTTAGTCTAAATAACCTGAAAATTCAAATTGACTTTGGATTACTTTTATTTCATATCAATTTAATTATCAACATAAAAATTTAAATTCGGTATAGCCCATTCAAACAAATATCAAAGAAAATAAATAATCACAATGCTAATGTTTAGAAATATAAGTGAGCAAAAACTATCAAAGTAGAACCGATGAATAAATTTTAGTAAGGAAATAAATTAAATATAATTAATAATGGTATTTGACCACATGCACTGCACGTGTATAACCTAGTGTGTATATGTTGGCCAATCAAAAAACAACATGTTCAAAAACAATGAGTGTAGCAGAAATGAGAATGTTACAATGGTCTTGTGAATATACATTAAAATATAGGATAAAAAATGAGTGCATCCGTAATAAATTAGAGGTTGTGCCTATTGAGAATAAAATTAGAGAGAATAGATTAAGATTGTTTGGTCATGTACAACGAAGACCGTTTTAATGCACCGATTAGAAAAAATGATAATATTAAAGTTAATGGGCTAAGAGATCTAGAGATCAATCTAGAATGACTTGGTTATAAGCAATTAAGAAGGATATGATTAAGACTAACTTAATGGAGGAGATGACCCGCAACAGAATAGAATGGAAAAATAGGATTCATGTAGCCGACCCCAAACATTTGGGATAAAGGATTGGTTGTTATTATTATATGTATGTATGTGTGTGTGTATATGTGTGTGAGTATGCGTGTATGTGTGTATTGTGTATATGTGTGTGTGTGCGCGTGCACATGCGTGCACGTATACATATATATGCAATATACTTATACACACACACACACACACATACATACATACATACATACATACATGTGTGTGTGTGTAGATGTATGGCTCATTCTCATCCACTCATTCAAATGGGGGAACACATTCACATGGATTATGAAAGTACCCTAGAGGGGGGTGAATAGGGTAGATATGATATTAATGCCAAATTAAAACTAATTAACTAATATCCTAGCAATTTATGTTATACAACAAAATATGTGCAAGGATATGTAATTAAACAACAGGCGATATAAACATGAAAGAGAGATAGTGTACAAATGATAATTGCAAACACAAGGAAAATAATCATAGAGTTCGGTCGACCCACGATCTATGTCTCCATTCCTCAAACTCGAGGAGAATCTCCACTATCTCAAAAATAACTACACAATTTTGATTTTCAAAGCTCACTGATAACATTTACAATCTCACACAATTGTCAATACACAATACACTCTTCTAAGTGTTGGCCTAGCCCGTGTCACCATTCTCAAGTGCTTAGAATTACTACATCTCCCTAGGATTTACAACCGACGCCACTCCTCTTGGAATTGATCCCGTCTCTCACCAACCACTTCTCTAAGTGTCCTTATATATTATAATGTGTTCTCTCAACAACAAGGCTCAAATACAAAGAATATGTTCTCTAATAAGAATGAGAACGAAATTAAGCTCACACTCAATGAATTACTCACTATTACCCAAATTACACTTAATGTGAAATACTAAAAGCTCAATAGGTTGTGTGTGTAATCAATGAGTAAAAAGAAATATAAACTCAATTAAAAATCTAGCTTATAGAAATGATGAACTTAATATAATTGCTAGATATTGAGTTTAGAAAAACTTCTTTGAAAATAAGAGAGATGGAGATATGAAATTGAAGTTCAAACTGAAATTATCTCCTCTTCTTATGAAACTCTCTTCACATAAATAATATACTTAAAAACCTTTTAAACAAACTTGCAAAAACTTATTTTAAACTTTTCTTAGATTATTCAAAATGTTGAGGCTGATGGGTATAAATAGGTTCTCAAAACAAAGCCCCAAAACCAAAGGAAAAAAAAATCCCCAATCCAACAAAATCTCTAAAATTTAGGAAACTGGAAACTAACCGTTACAGTAGCCGTCAGTCGACTGATGGTACTATTCAGTCGACTGCTGAGTTGTCTATTGGCTATCGCTCAAACATCATCGGTCGACTGATGAGACTATCAAACGACTGATGAGCTTCTTCAGTTGACTGATAAGAGTCAGTCGACTGAGCAGAAACTTTCAGCAAATCCGGAGCACTTCATCAGTCGACTGATGAATAGTAGCAGTCGACTGATAACCATGCACAAGCTAATTATGAATAGTAAATCTAAATTTCAAAGTAATTTTAAAAATAGCAAATAAATTCCAAAAATTATAAAACTTGGGGAAATATTTATATACATGAATATAAACGTGTTAGAGAAGAATTTTTTGAAATATCATTTCCCGTTTGTGAAAACTCATCATTTTACAAAATAGTTAAAATAGTAATTCATTTAAATACTTGATTTTGACAAAATAATTTCAAGCAAGTTTGAAACTTCTTTTGAATGAATTAATAGACTTTATAAAGATATAAAAATAGTATAATCAAGTATTTAATCCATAAACACATTATTTTCCAAAACAAGGATGATAAATATGAAACAAATGTGTATGTATATAAATATATCTATTAGTTTCATATTTATATGGTAAAACTCGAAAACGATAAACCAAAAATGTGTATGTGTGTAATATTTGAGCTTATAAGCATAACACACAAAGTATAACTCATAAACTAATATACCCAATCTTGAAGATCTCTTCGTGACGTTCGATCTTGGTAACATGGATGAAGTGCATTATTGGATCTTTGACTAGAATGTGAATGACTTCAATCGAAATGTCGCCAACCTCCATTAGATATCGTCATTTGCGCTCAATTCTATGCAACCTCCAATAGAGGATCTTTGTGTAGAATACCTAACAAGCAAACACAAACACTCGAAAAACAATGTTAGAAATTATTTGTTAATCATCAAAACTAGATTAGATAGTAGGCTCATAAACATGAGACCTAACAGATTAGAGAGTGGATGAGAATGAGATACCTCACTATCAAGCATAAAATTTATGTTTGGTATCAAGTTCCTACATTTTTCTCATAAATAGATCAATATTACGTAATCCTAATCAAATTATAATTTTCCATAATTAAAAAGTCTTATAATTTTTTGTTCTCTTTTATTTATATACAAGGGAGGGATTAGTGGTTTACTATTAGCCTTATATCTAAAAAGTGTTGGGTATGACCGTCTATGAACCTTGTTTGATAATAACAAACCCCTATGAATGTTCTGATCTGTGTGTTAAGTTGTGCAGGATGCAGGTTGAACGGAAAAGGATTGTGTGTGTATATATATATATATACAGCGCCGATCTCATACGGATAAATGCGTACGCAGTCCACGTCTCCTGGGTTTTTTCGCAAAAATCGTCGGTCTTTGGACAACAGCTCGTGAACCCAAATCCCTAATCCTCTCTCTCTCTCTCTCTCCAAAAAAAAGGACCCAGATCCCTAATCCTCCCCGTGAACCCAACCCCTCCTCCTTCATCAAGCCCCAAAAAACCCTGCATCCCTCCCGTTCTCTCTCTCTCTCGAGCTCTCTAAGTGAACTCGTCCAACTCCGCTAACTTCCCCCCTCTTCACGCGAAGACAATAATGGATCGCAGCGCTTACTTGTCCCACATTTCAAATTAAGCAACACGCATGTTCCGACTCAACATCAAAGAAATAATAATTCACACCTGGTATTGTGATGCAGAGTCCACAAGCTGAGCCCTTCAAGAGAGTGCCCAATCACCTCACACACCAGCACTGACATCTTCTTCTCCAAATCCTCCTCCTTTGGCGCTGTCGATCCCCCTTCCACCACCTCAGCAACATGCACAAGCACATCCAGCATCGTCACCATCCCTATATACTGCTTCCTCACCTCACCCGTCGCCCGGTCGGACTCCAGTATCATCAACCTGCCGGCGCCGATCCAGCGGCCGGGTGGAGCGGCAACGGGCACGGTGACGATGTTGTTGGCGACGAGGACGTTGACTGTGTGGGAGAGGGTGGCTGTGTAGGGCACCTCCACCAGCCGGCGCTTGTGGGCCACGAGAGCTCGGACCCTCTGATCGTGGAGCCAGGCGCATGATCCTCTTCTTCTCATCTTCCTCCTGCTCTGTTTCAGTTCTGGCGCATCCTCCTCTCCCGCTAAGGATCACGCCCCAATTTCTGGTATATTTGGTTATTTGAATCTTCAGCCCTAGCATTGTTATGGAATTAAAATTTTTCCTTTTTGATCCATTGATTAAGGTTTCCTGTCCCGAATGACAAAATAAGCTGGATAAAGCAAAGCTAATACATGTTACTCCAAGAAAAGCTAATGCAAAATTTAAAAAAAACTTGAATAAGTCCTAATGGGGCCTTGAACCCTGAACAAAAGACTAAGAAAAGTTTAACATTCTTTGAGGATTGCATTAGTTAACCTCTCCTTGCTCAAATTGAGTTCAGAGGTATATTAATATCAGTTTATCACATCCAATTGCATATGAGGTTGTGCAAGCCAAACAGATTTAGACACCTACACATCTTCAGAAGTCATAACTGTTCCAAACTCTTTTTAGGTTGTTTGTTTTCATCAAATAACCAATTGGAAATTTCTCAATAAATAAGGCGATTTTGCTGTATCTAGTCCAATAGGTTCTTGTAGTTTTGTTTCGAGGTGTGTAATGGAACTAACTCGACCTTTTTCACTTGCAGATGGCAAACAGCATTTGCTAGAGTTTGAGCAGAGACTTTTCGGATCCAACAAGGCTGTCGAAGCCGAAAATTCTCCCATCCGATCCACATCCAATTTTCAACTTGAGGGGCCAGACATCTTCGGATTGGAGAAAATAGTTGTTTGAGTTATCTCGTGTGCAGAACGGAGCAATAAAACTACGGAAGTACATCATGATCTTTAAAACATGTAATGATGGATAATGTTTTGGAAATATACCTAGTTTCAGTTTTGGAAATATATCTAGGATGTACTCCATTGATTGGTGATGGTTTTTCTATTGATTGTACTTGAACGTGAACACTTTCAATCTGTAACTCATAGCCTGCTGATGGTTTTTTTATTGATTACAA